TGTAATTATTTTTTAAAATAAAAATAAAATAAAAATAATTATATTAAATAATATCTTAAAAAATATAAAAAAATAAATTTAAATGCTCCCATTTAAAATCTAAATCTTTTAAAGTTAAATAAATAAAATATATGATATACGAATAAAATAAATTAAATTAAATGGAAAAAAGCGTTGGTTCAATTTAAAAAGAAAGAAAAAAAATACTTAATGAAGCCGAACCGGTTTAAAGTTGAGCTCAAAGTCTCAAACTCGTTAAATTTGAGTCTGTCGCTCTTTGGTCCCAACTTGTGAGATGGACCGAAATCGATGGGCCTAAAAATAAATTTGGATTAATCAGTTTAGGCTCAGAAACAAAGGCACAAACTGTTAAACCATCCGACACCTAAAATTGCAGAACAGCGAAGAAACGCTGCTCCCTTCGTTAGTTTGAGGCTGACAAGTGTGACGGTGAGCGGTGACTGAGGCTGCTATTCGCCGCCTTCTGAACCGCCGGTGACGGTGACTGTATCTCTAGTTGACCATTATTGAGTCTCTTCTTCACTGCTTCAATTCTATCGTAAGAATTCAAAGTTGAAACATTTCTATGATTCTTTCTGCTATAGCGCAATTTTTCAGCTAGGGTAGTCATTTCTCATATTAGGGATTGATTAAATTGAAGAACTGATTTCTGGGTATCATGAAGTTTTGATTTTTATTTTCGTCCAGTGAAGATTGAAGAGTGAGAGAGATGTCCAGGTTTCGTGCATTGTGGCAAGCATCTTTAAATGCAACCAAGAAAGGTAAGCGTTTGATTGTAAATCCGATTATTTGATCACTAGTTTAACCTATCTAAAGATTTTTTTCTTTTTCTTTTTTTTTTTTCAATGATTTTGACACTTTACAACCTCAGCTCTCACAGGGAATCTTGAGGATTTGATGCCTCCCGCTGAGAGATATGTATTCAATTTCAGTTCAAAAGAAGAGCTAAAGAAGTGGCATCTGTATTCAGATTCTGAATATGGAGGTACATACGTACTCCAGTTCAATATTTTTGTTTCACAGACATATATAATATTGTTCTCTCAACTGGAGATAAATAAACCAGCTAGTGATTTGTGTAATTCAAAGGGTGTGGGTTTTGAGTTATGTTCTGATCCTGTTTTTTCCGGATTATATATTAGTTGAAGTTTTTTGTCTCTTCAACAAGCCCAAACAAACTTTAACCTCTCACTTATTACACCTGGTCTGCTGAAGTATTTTTATTGGTTATCTTATTATCAACTGTTATTTTATTCTTTCTAGTTGTTCTGGATGATTTCAAGTTTTGTGAAAGGTCATGTTGTACATATGCTACAGACTAACATGGCTTTCATCTTGTAATTATTTTTGAAGGTTTGTCTTCAGCTTCTTTGGAGATCAAAGATGCAGGGGATGGACAGACAGGAACTGGTAAGTAAATTTTAACATCCTGCATCGATAAATATTAGTTGTTAATAGATTTGTGGTTGGTGGTTATTTCTGCTCTAACCACACTAGTTAGTTATTGAATTATATAAACAATCAATTATGTTAAAGAACTGTTTTGGTTTTGGGTTAAATTCAATTTTTAACATGTGGTTCCCCATCTCATTGGATGTCGAATTTTTGTCTTCTGGAAATTACATCATTGGCAGTGTTAGGATCAGGAATTTTTTGCATTCGTGATTGCACAAGGAAGATTGCAAATGCAGAAATTTTCTTGTCTGGCTTGACTTTCTTTGGTTCTGTTATGGTAGAAGTTTTTTAACTTTTGAAAACCTTGTGAACTCACAATTTGCTTCAAACTTTGCATCTAACTCTACTTCTTCATTTCTGCAGTTGACTTCGTAATCAAATGATCTGTTTGTTTTTGTTAGGTATCTTCTCTGGGAATCTTTCCCTCGATGTAAGTGAGGGTTCAAAATGGAACATAACTCGAAGTGGCTTCTGTGGAATGCGGTCCAAGAAGGTTAATAGTACTTTCAACATTTTCTTATAGTTGAATAGATAGTTTGATGCTGTACAAGAGCTCTTTAAAAAAATTATATCCTTCAGTTCATGTTATAAACTGATAACTGTACAAACATATACTTTTGTGCATTCCTTTCTCAATCCTGTGTGTTTGTTATTTGTTATCTTCTGCTTCACAACATTCTTGAGTTTTTCTGAATTCCTTCTTGTACTAAATTTTTTAGACAGCTGCTATGATTTGTGCAAACTCAACTATTTATTTACTTTTGTGATTTAATGCTTTAAATGACATTGGGATGCACTTTAGTGCTGTAGGATTCAAATGAGTGGATTCGTACCAACGTTAGGTTCCCTCATATTAGTGCATACTGAATTAGAAACATTTTTTATTAAAGAAAATAAATAATCATTAATTTTCATTGCAATCTTCCTCTAAATCTGGAGAATGACCTCTTTCTTTCTTTTCTTATTTATTTTTCTGCAGTTTGATGGTTTCATTGACTTGGATTCATATGATTCACTAGCACTAAAACTCAAAGGAGATGGAAGGTGTTACATATCTACTGTAAGTTGATTTGTCAAAAATAGGAGAAAAAAAAATAGAATTTAAAGCTTTTTTATCCTTTTTATATTCATTTCATTTTGCAATTTCTAATTGATGTTTGTATATCACAGTTCATCAATATAGACATAGATGACACTTGTCCAATCTTTCATGCCTACAGATTTATACGGAGAACTGGGTAAATTCACCTGGACAACAGGAGGATAATTCATGGCAAGCTTTTGTTTTTGTACCCAGGGACAACTGGTATATTGCAAAGGTAATTGCTATGCTCCAATATATCCTCATGCACTTAAAGATGTGTCATCTCTGATTTCACTCATTTGGAACCTCAAATCCATCATCATTATGACTGAAAACTCCAAAATCCTAGAAACAAAAACATTAATAATTCAGGTAATCATTTATGAAACGAAATTTAGTCTGCCTTATGATTTTATTATTTGTCCAAGATTCAATTCATTTAGTACTTATTACTATTTTAGAGATAAACTAAACTTAGTCAGGCCCACATATTATACGAATCTCAATTAGCATGTTATTAACTTGTAGCATAGAAGCAGAATAGTTGTGAGCTAGGAATCAATGCATGGTGCACCTTCTAGTTCAAAACAGTTATATTATATACAGAACTAGCATATGCTCATTGTCCTTCATCTTAGCTTTTATCAACGAAAATAATAAGTAGTACTAACACTCATCAGAAGAGAAAGGATGTTGAAGACTATTATAATTAAATATTGTTGTGATTTAGTGAAGATAAAGGATCAATGATGAAAAAGTCACTTCTGTATTTCTGTTCATTTATCAATACAACTGCCAGTCATACTGCTCTTAATGACTCGAAGAAATCTAAACTGAAATCCAGCATGCAGCTTTCTATAACTGATTAAAAAGAACACAGTACTTAGAATCCAGTTTCTTTTCTCTTTGACTGTTTGACATCCACTTGAAACGTGGAAGATTTGAAGGATATGTGAATCAGGAAGGTTTTCTACTTGCTGGTGGCCTTTCTTGTGGCATTTTAAGGAAAATATTTATAAATCAAGCATGCTGTTTATCATGTAAAGTTCCCTTTTTGTTTGTTAACATAAATTGGCTTGTAAATAACTTGAATGCCTATTCAGATTCCTCTCGCTCACTATTTACCAACGTGGAGAGGAAATGTTATCGATGCAAATTTGGAGATGAATCCATCTCGTATCGTTGGCATGTCTCTATCTGTCAACGCTGAGGGTGGTCTTCCGGATGCTAAATCTGGTCCAGGTGATTTCAGAGTTGAAATTGACTGGATAAAAGCCATAAGAACAGAATGAGTTAATTGTATTCCAAAGAACCAATAATCAAGGCCTCAAGTTTTTCTACCATGACTGTATTTCTGCATCTTTGAAAACAAAAGTTTGACAATCTGGCTAGCATCATGTATAAAACAAATGCACCATTTTCAGGGCATTTCTTTTTGTTCCTTAAATATCCACATTAATGTTATACCCTTTATCTCTTTGTTTCCTAGCGAACGATTGTGGGGAGAATTGTAAACAGAAATATCTAACCATCTTGCTTCAGACATAATGATATGGAGATTTGAGAAGGACACTTCATCTCATATCATCCACAATCTATCTCTTTGGTTTACTTTTGCAGTTCGCTTTTTCCATCTAATGTATTCTTCCCTTGTTTACTTTTCCAATTTGCCATATCAAATGGAGATAATGTGGTTCATTTTCTTTTTCAATTAAATTGCCTGTGTTTCCAACTATTTGACAGTTAGTTTTGTCACTTTCAACCCGCAAGTTGCATGCAGTGGGCTTTTGTTGCATTCCTTCCTCTTCTCCTTGTTTCTATTATAATTATTAATCATTTTTTGAAAGAATTTACATGTAATGTGATGTATGCAATTGGTGGAGCCTATGGGGTCCTTTTTTGATAAAATTGATGAAAAATGAAAATTGTAAATATAATTTTATTTTATAACAAAATCTTTTAATTTTATGCTACAATACTTATGAATTTATAATAAATTTAATCTTTTAAATTAAAAGTTACTTATGATTGAACAAGACATAAATAGTTCGGACTATGAAATCATGATGGATCATGAAGGACTAGACATTAGAATGACGTGGAAATTTCAATTCCATTTATCCTCTATCCAATATCCATGATCCATCTTCATCAAATTTCTAACTTTAATTCTTTCAGCTTCAAAACTTCACCTGCTGCTTCAATGCTTTGTGCTAAACCTCCTTATTGGTCCCCAAAGAATACAAATGGCAACGGATTGGTCCCTAAATTCTTTCCTTGTATGTTCTTCTTTCCACAGGTGAAAGGTGCATGTATAAATCTCTGTGGGCGTTCCACGGATCCTATCCATGTCAAGTGGGCTCTTCAAGCCATCATTTTTGATTTAGGACTTAGACCACACCGGGCTACATGAATTATCCATTTGTTGAATGTCTTTTTATTCTTTTTTTTTTTATGCATTTGACAATGATGGAGTATATAAGAGAAGATTTCTCTAAATTCCTTCTCCCTAGACCCAACTAAAGGTTTAAATTTAAGATTTTTAATTTAAAATATTAAGTTCTTAATCATAGAGCCACTCTATTTAGGATCATTTGTTGAATGTTATGAATCTTTGATTTTTGCAACATCACTGCACAGAATCGTTGATCATCTATTTATATCATTAATAAATTAATGTATATG